CAGTGATAGTTGAGATTTCAGAGATCATATTCCTTTGGGGTGGCTCTCCTCTAGTAATCAGAACTTGCATCATCTCAGTAAGTTTGTCTATGCCTGACTTCAACTCATCAATTTCCATTCTAAGTTCCATGTTGTGTTGTTCTTTGTTTTCCATTCTTCGTCTAATGTTAACTCTAGTCTCGTACTTGTGTTGAGGAAACAACTTGACAGTTGACAGATAACTGGAAGAAAGAAACAGATGGGAATGAGATCTTGGAAAACTTGGATGTATGCATGAATGATGCAGAGGATGCAAATGATATGCAATACAAATTCCATGTTCCAATATTTCAAGGAACTTATAAGTTTTGATTCATATTATTAAGCCACGGTGTCCTTCTTGACAGTGTTTATATTTGAGACGGCTTTACAACTTGAATTAAATAAAAGATGCATGGAAATAAAGGAGCATGTATGCAAGTATATGGGATCCAGGTTCCATCAAGCTGAATAAGTGTGACACAGTTTCTGAACTTTCTGAACATAACAGGATCAAAGGCCAGAACCAACTCAGAATACAAGAAACCCAAGTATAATGAGGACCAGTAGTAATACCTGTAAGAATAATTCCCACCCTATCTTACATGTAAATTCTGGCTTGGGTATGGTAAAAAAGGTTCACGGAGTCATGAGTCCACGTGGAAACCTTACATTATAGCAGCAAACGTGCATAACGTTAGTAAACCCCAAATGAACCTCGTTTGTGCATGGCTCTCATGATCGTGCTAGTAGGATATTCACCCAGTAGGCTTCATGACTATCCACTCTAATCTTATATGTTCCTAATTCTTTCTCTCTGACCTGGGTATTGAGCCTTTTACCTTAAACTAACATCCCACCCAACCTGAAAAACAGAAAATCCAGCAACCATCTCAACATATATCTAGAATAATGGAAAGCAATGCATGCAATAAATAAACAACAAGTATAGCATATAGATAAACACCCAAAAAAAGAAAAAAGTAAAGCTAGAATTGACCTACTTAGAGACAAAGAGTTCCCAATAAAGTCGCCAACTGTCATGTAGCAGTAAAAAATTGAGACTAAGCCATTGATTAACTTAACTCATAAAGAGAAAGTCGCCATTGCACTTTATTGTTTCCAAAGGTAAATGGGAAAAGAACGAATACAACCCAACATAAAATAGAGATCAAGGTACGTGGGTTGGTTATGCAAAGGAAAGGTATTAGCACCCTAAACATCTATTGGACTCAACGAGATCCACTATGTTTGTTCTAATCAAAGGGTGTGTTATCTAAAGCTTAAACTTGTTAAGGGAATGCATGAGTGAGTTCTTAAAGAACAAAAAGAGAGTTTTTTATTATTGCACTCATCTCGATTTTACAACTTCGTGCCTATATATCTCGAAAGAATCAGAGCACCATAGTTCTTCTCGAAAAGGTTTATTTGTTTATTGTTTTTAAATGAAAGATATATTGTTGTATTCGAGTGGAAAACATACTTACTACCCACGATTATGAGAAAGAAGCATTTGCATCATCTTGAGGTGGAGGATTTTTCTTGGATTGAGATCAACAAGACAATCACTCAACACCTAAGTGGAACATACCATCACTTAACTACATATTATAGAAGTATAGTATTTTACATCACTACAAGAATCAACAAGAGTCTAATCTTTGAGAAAAGATTTTAAAGAAAAAAGTGCATAAAGGGCACAAAATAATTTGAATGGGTTGAAGTATTTTGTTACCTTGAAAAATAATTTGGTGATTTGAACCATATTAAAGACTATGAATGAGAGGAAAGACAAGGTTAAGAATGTACCACCTCATCCTTCTCCCACTACTTAAGGCTCGTGACACATAGTTCACTCTTTATTGTTAAGTGTTTTTGAGATTTGATAAAAGAAAAATAATTTTTAGTCTTAAATGCAATGCAAAATGGGAAACAAAATCTAAGGGGAAACCCAAATTCTAATGTTGTCATGCAATATGGTCCTAGAGTTAGGATATCAAAGGGAAAACTATCTAAAAGTTAACATGCATCATGGACCTAAGAGAAAGGATTGAGGGAACTTCTACCTAATGTTATCATGCTTGGTTTGGAACCTAAATTCTATTTAATTCATTCCTTTAACAAGATGGAATCAAACTCCTCAGAATACATGTGAGCACAAGCAATCAACAAAGAAACAAAAAGAACGAAGTTGTGATCTCAGCTATAGTGAAAGACTGAGTGACTCTTCGTTCACCACAAAGATATGACAAAGGTGGTAGAAAACTAAACCAAAGTATAGTTTGAAAAAAAAAAGAAGATTTTGAAAATTAAAGAAGGGGAGGAGATGAAGAGACTATCCTAAAGTATAAAATAAAAGCTAAGGTAAGGAAGGTCTGACCAAACAAGAAGCCAACACTTAACATAATAAAGTCAACACAGAATTCTAATCCTTTGGATTAAAGCCACAAGCAAAGAATAAACCAAGAGTATAGCAAGATCAAGTAAAAATAAATCATAAGCGGAAAGTGCATAAGATAGGCCCAAGGTTTCAGATAAAGCTCAAAGCATCAAATAATTATCAAAATATCGGATAAGAATCCCAGCATCAGATGAAACTTCGAACAAGCAGACCAAACCATGATAATAGAGAAATAACCCAAAGGTTTCATGTGAAATAAGAACTCAAATCCAAATGGGTTAGAATCGTGTATCAGAGCTAAGTGAATAAATGAAACATGAAGTAAATGTTTAACCAATTAATCAAGAGTTGATTAACTTAATTAATTAAGTTAAGAAAAATTAGTTAGCAAAGATTAATTAATTTTTAATAATAAAATCAACTAACTAAATCTATGTTTGATTAATTAATTAAGAGTGATAAAGTGTGCAAAGAGGGAGAGAGCATTTGAGCCATCTCGAAAGCTTACACAAACTATAAACATGTTAATAACACAAAAGAAAGAGTAATAACACAGTGGAAACTTGCTTTTAATTCATGTAAGTAGCCAAATTTCTCAATCAAAATCAACATACATATTTGAATGGAATAATAAAGCAAGAGTCAAGGGCCAAAATGGAATTAATATTCAATTGTGAATTAACAGATTAAATGGTAAAATATGAGTTGCAACCATAAATCTCATGAAATTTTCCAAGACCTCAAAACAAATTTCAAACAATTATTCTAACAATCAAAATCAAAATCAATTAGCAACCAATCAAGTTACTACTCAAATCACATTCAAAATATGAACAAACAACATTGAAACAAAACTTTTATCATCCCATAAGCACCCGGGCAGCTGCAACAAACAAGTATCGATACTCAAAAATTTTATCTCAAGCATGCTCAATACAAACGGAAACAACAAAGTAGTGTCATGATCAAATTTCTCATTCAAAATAAATGCAACTAACATCTTAATGTCATCAAAATCAAGCTTAATTAGTACCAACTCAAGTTATGACTTAATTCAAGTTTAAAACATGAAAAACCAAGTTTAAACCAAGCCTAAATCATTTGAATCAATATCCGGGCAGCGACAACACATACACAGTTATCCCCAAAAAACAAATCTAAAACATGTTTGAAACCATTGAGAGTAAGAACAATGTCAAAACCTAATTTTCTCACTCAAATTCAACTTAAATAAACCAAAAAATGTTATCAACACTTCTTGAATTAATTAAGTAACTTGGTATCGACATCACAATTCATTCGGATTTAACATATATGACACATAGAGCATGGTATCGACATCACAACTTACTCAAATTGACTAAAGTAGAATGGTACTCCTTATAAACTCACAAACATAACAATTAACACCAACAATTAACCTTTCAACTCTCAAATTGAATCATAACAACAAGTTCATCACTTAACTCAAGGTTCTCATTCAATTTCAACATACCAATTACAATCAATAATCACCATCATCTTCAACACTTAAATCAATAACAAATATCGTCATTATCAATTTAGCAATAACCCCGTAACAATGTCATCACTAAATTTCAACAATAAAATCACAACATCATCACTATCAATTTTAACACTAAATCAATGACAATGTGATCAATATCATCTTCAACAATTTGATTATCACAACAACAAGAGATTGAATTTACTCTTCAACTTTCTTTATAAACACTTGTTTTTTTCTTTGTTTTGACACAACACAAACAACAAACAATCTCATAACAACTCCTTACCACCCTCTCCTCTCTAGCTTGCTATTCACCAATCTCTTCCTTCTGCCCTTCTAAATTCCGCGAGCATAACCCCATCTCAACAATCCCTTCTTCTCTCTAGCTTCACACAACAAACAATTTCAACACACAACAATCTTACTCCATCCTCTCTTCAATACACGAACCCAATCTTCATCAAACCCTCATTTGTTTCTCCCTTCACCCTCTATTTCAATGCAACACACAACAAGCAATTCCTTCAATTTCTGCCATCAACCATCCGCTACCCTCATTTCTACACAACACCCAATCTTCCCATCATAATCCCAGCAATACTCCTTTTACTCTCTGCAAGCATCAATCGCTCATAATAATTGTTCTGCCATCTAATTCCTCCGCGCCAATTTCCCTCCGTCCGCTTAATTCGTTCCCATTTATCTACTCACAGAAAACACGATCTCCCTCCGATTCCATTATCAAACCGCAACCCTCTGCTCAGCAACCTTATGACCGCGACCCTTGTTATCTGTCGCACAGTAACCTTGTTACGTCAGCTCCGAGTGCATCTTCTCGTCTCAGCTTAACGCCAACACCGACGACATCGCAACTCGGTTTTCACTCGCAAGCTACAATGTTTTCGACACGTTTGGTAATGTTTGATTCACTTTCTTTTGAACTAATGTTTTGCTGTGAATTTTCTTTAGAATTTAGTTTGGATGTTTAAATGTTTCTCTTGGTTTTATGATATGATGGTGTAAGGGAATTCTTGTTTTAATTTATGTGAAAATTGTTTGAGTAGAAAACTGTTATGCTGCCATGATTGGTTTCTCGAGTTTAAATCTGTGATAAGTTGTGAAAAATAATTTTGATGCTCGATATTTCTTTGGTTTCATTGTTATGCTGAAAATATGAAGGAGGCGATTTGATTGATATAAAAACATTTTGGATGTCTGGATATTAATATCATATTGAAACTTCAATTCAATTCTTGTTTTGTTCACTTTTGAATTTAATTGAAACACCGTGGGTTTGTTCATACGGGTGCATCAGTGTCGATTTTGTTTTGGTGTTTAAGCCATTTGAAAGTGGTTTTTGATGACGTTTCAAGTTGTATTCAATTAACAAAGTTCCTTGGTTAATGTTGGTGTTTATACATAAGGTTAAAATCACTTGGAAATTGATTTTCATGAGCTTTTATGCATAATTTGTTGTTGTCCAGTTTTTGGTTTGTATGAATAATGTTTGATTCAAGATTTATTTTTCATGTATTGGAATTGAATTGAATTATAGATTGAGTTCTTGATTTTTGTTCTCATTTGTGAATTGATGACCATGTTCACCGTTGCGTTTACTAGAGTTTAAATATGTTTAGAACATTGAATGCCATGCTGATTTTTTGTTGGGTATATTAAGTAATCATTTGCTTGGTTTTTGAATTGTTCATGTGCATCATACAATTTCATTTCGATTTATACCTTGTAATTACTAATACATGTTTTAATTGTTGCAATTTCATTTGGTTTTGTTTTTATCCATCTTATGCTACTAACGAGTTTGTTTGTTGTGAAGGTTTCCAAGATTTGTTTCAAGCATTCATTCTTGCATAGCGCATCCATAATTTTTCTTCATTCCCTTTTCATTATATTTTATTTTATTATTTCAATTTAATATTTAGTAATGTAAATATATAATTGTACATAATACTGTTGATTTTGTATTTTATTCAATTCACTTGTAAATAAATCCAGGTTATGTAAATATTCTTTCCATTGCATTGCGATTTTGAATTTTAATTCAAGTTAACTTTTGAAAATTGTATGGACACATATAATTTTTCCCGATCATTTGGAGTTGATTCCTACATGAATATATTCTAGAAAATAATTAACTAAGTGCAAAGTTCGGTAATGTACACTTAAGCTTTAAATAAGTTTCCCCGTGCTATTGGATTTGTCTGTATATTTCATGTAATGCAGGGATTCTTACCTGATATCGTGAGCTTTATCCATCACCCTTGCACTTTATCTGACTCCTTCCATGATCCACGCTTTCTTCGTTCGTGATTTATTTTCACGTGCTTTATCTGATGCTTGGAGTATTATCTGACATTTGGGTTTCTTTGATGCAGTCGGCTTGTGATTTATTTTCACCTGAGGTTTGGTATACTCTTAGCTTCTTTATCTGTATGTGGCTTTAAACCCAAAGGGATGGGAACACTGTATTGACTTTATCATGTCAAGTATTGATTTCTTATTCAGTCAGATCCTCTTTACCTTATTTTTACCCTCATGTACATAGGATACTCTCTTCATCTCTTCTCCCATTCTTTAATTTTCAAAACCTTCTCATCTTTTTCAAAATCTTCTTTGTTTACAAACTTGAACCGCTTTCATAATAAACTTGGACTTAGGTCCATGCATTTTCAAAAATATTTTCTTAATCAAACTTTAAACAATTTAACAATACTTTGACATTTTTGTGAGAAGACTAAAAGTCAATCAATCTCATTCAAACTATCTTTTCCACTTTGGCTTTTTACCTTAAAATTGTCTCAAAATATCAGACTCTTGTCAATCTTTGTAGTGATGCGAGCTACTATACTTCTATGATATATAGTGAAGTGAGATATTTTCCACTTGGGTGTTGAGCGAGGCTTTGTTGATTTTAAAATCCAAGCCATATCCTCCACTTTGAGATAATGCAAATTCTCCTTTCTCATAATTATGGGTAGTAAGTATGTTTTCCACTCGGATAAGACGATAAGGTCTCGTCTCTTAAAATTAACCAACACACTTGTGTTTTAAAATTTTTAAAGGTGAACTACGAGTACCCTGATCCCCTATTGCATGGAAGGTGGTACCTAGACACTAAAGGTTCGCAACCGCGGCAGGTGCAAAAAATCATAAAAAATATTTCTTTTCTCATCTCTACCATCTATTTTTATACAACATTTATAGCTAAAATACATATATTTTCAAAGAGGTTCCTGCGGAGTATCGTAGATGTTTAAGGTGATAATACCTTCCCTTTGCATAACCAAACCCCGAACTTAGATTCTCTCCCCCCCTCTTTTTGGGTTATTCGCTCTTTTACCATTCTTTTGAAAACAATAAAGTACGATGGTGATTTTTATTTGATTTGTGCGAGTCAAGTCAATCCAATGGGTTAGTCTCAACATTTCTACCGCTATAGAAAAAATGGCGACTTCACTGGGGACAAATTAACCAAATGTTGGTCCATCCTTAAGTGGCTTGAGCCTATCTTTGTTTGTTTGTGTATGTGCTATTATTGTTTGTATATTATGTGTTGTATATATGTTTGTCTGGACTTTTCTGGTTTTCAGGGTGCTTGGTGATTTCTCATGAGTCCTATACCCGGATTTGGGAAAACTTAAGATAGGACGGGCGGTATAGTCATGTTAACTTTGAGGGAGTAATCCCAAAAAAGGAGACATGATATCCCCCACTCAGTTTAGGCCCCTTTGATTGTAGTTTCGTTTACCGAGTAATCGGGAAGACGTGCTGCTTTTGACCTGAGAGCCTGTTGAAACTGAGGACGGTAGAACCTTTAACCCGTCTTGGCCTTTTAGGTGTAGTGCGGAAGCTATGACGGAGTAATTCGGAAATAGTTGTCACGCGATACTATGCTCGGACGAGTTTTTCTTGAGAATATTGCTAATTACCGAGTCAATCAGGAAGTTGGTAATATTCGAAGGAAGGATGGAGACTCTGGGAACCTCTTAGAACCTTTTTCGGCAGGTGATAAACTGTTAGATCATATCTTATGGGTAGTACCTTCAACCTCATGCTCGTGACGTTGAACCTATGAACCATATGTTTGTGATCTTGTGTGTGATTGTTGCATCATGCATTCATGCATCCATGAGCATCCTTTAAAACATTTTGTTTCAAGAGACTTAAAGTTGACTCTTTGTTAATATCTCAGGTACTTTTTGACTATGGATTCTGGAAAAAGAAAGACCGGGAAGTACAGTTTCAAAGATCCCAAGTTAGATGAGTTGATGAGTCTAATTCCCGAGATCGAGAGTTCTACAAATTTTTGGATGAAGTATGGGTCCATCATTTCTCTTATGAAGCTCGGGATAAAGGAGGCTATCCTCTCTACTTTGATCCTGTTCTATAATCAGATGTATCGATGCTTTACTTTCCATGATTATCAGTTGATGTCTACATTAGAGGAGTACTCTTATTTGCTGAGTTTACCTATTAATGATCGTGTTCCTTTTACTGGTTTGAAGGGTGAGCCAAAATATCATGAGAGTCCTGCTTTGATCCATTTGGGGGAGTCTGAGGTTAAAGCCCACATGACTACCAAAGGAGGGATTAGAGGATTATGTGCTCAGTTTTTGTTGGAGAAAGCTCGCTATTTTTCTAGGATGAAGAGTACGGTGGCTTTTGAGGCCATCTTTGCTCTACTTGCTTATGGGTTGTTCTTATTTCCCAATGTCGACAAATTTATAGATATCAATGCCATCAGGATCTTTATGATTGGGAACCCAGTCCCTACATTATTTGGTGATGCTTATTATTCTATTCATCTTCAGGATTCTTACCATGGAGGGATGATCATTTGCTGCACGCCTTTGTTGTATCAGTGGTTCATTTCTCACTTACCTCGATCTGGTGCTTTCTGGGATGTCAGGAAGGAACCTCATTGGGATCCGAACATTATGGCCCTCACTCACTCAGATATTGTTTGGTATCATCAGGCTTACTATGATGTGGAGATTATCGACAGTTGTGGTAGTTTCCCCAATGTACCTCTTCTTGGTACATAGGGAGGAATTAACTACAACCTTGTTCTTGCACGATGATAGCTTGGATATCCGATGAGGAATAAGTCAAATAGTATTCATTTAAGTGGTTTCTTTCTTAAAGAGGGAGAGGTTCATAAGGAAGCTAAAGAGGAGATTGTGAAGGCTTGATGTCATATTCACAAGAAGGGTAGGAAGGAATTGGAACCTAGAGGGGTTGTTTCTTTGGAGCCTTATCTTTAGTGGGTGCAAGCAAGAGCCATCCAGTTGAAGATTTCGTATTCCCGTGAAGCACCCATGCCTAATGTGTTTGTGAAGACCATTCCTCCCCTATTAGATGATGTGGAAGAGCTTCAGCTTGCTCTAGGCAGGATGCAACAGGAGAAGGAGGCTTGGAAGAATAAGTGTCAAATTTTAGAGGTGTCCTACCGAGAAGACCTGAAGGAGAAAGACGACCTGATCGAGATTCTTGAGAGTCGTGTTGTAGAGACGATGGAGAGGCAAAAGGATTTATTTTTCCTTTAGAGCTCCGTCAGGAACTAGTTTCTCACTTCCTGATTCAGATGATTGGAAAGTGGTCGCCGATAGGTATGCAGAAGAGAATAAGCAGCTGAAGGCTCAGATTGCAAGACTCGCAGGGAAGCGTCAGTTTGTGGAGTGATCTTCATCAGCTTTGCTTTCTTAGGATCTTAGATTTTTATCTTATCTTGTACTTGAGATTATTGAAACTTGTACTAAAAAGTTGTAATTCGTTTTGAAGTTATTATAATGAGATTTTCAGTATTTCAAATGTGTTAGTACTTTAATATTTGCAAATTGTCTATAAATCTTTGAGTTCCTTGAAATATTAATCATAAAATAAATCATGTGCGTTGCACATCAAGCATCATCTTGCACATATTTTTGCGTTTCTGTTCATAATCAGGTGTCTTACTGTGCTTCTTTACTTCATTCAGCAAGATGTCTCACCAGTACAACACTCAGGCTAATTTCAGAAGGAAGATGGATAATCTAGAACAAGAGAATCGCGAGCTGCATGAAGAAGTTTCTGCTCTGAAAGCTGGTATGGCCTATCTCACTGCTCTTATGGAATCGTTGGTTGCTGCTCAGAATCAACCACCACTTGCTCATCCTCAACAGATAACGATTACTTCTTAAGCTCTAACGATTCCTGTTTCTGCTACTCCAGCTGCTGTTGTTCAGAATCGTTTGCCTCGGGGTTGTCCATGGAGAATGTCAGAGAGCTTTATGCCGGAAGGTTTT